GGGTGCCTAACCCCCAGGAGTGGCTTTAGTGAATGGAGATGGAGGCACAGGAATAAAAAAGAGGAGGACGGGAGACATTGGACAGAGAGAAGAAGTGGGAGAGAGAGAGAGATGGCCCTTTCTGAATGCCCTTTACCCTAAGTCACTATTGGCTCAGATGCCCGCCACCTGGGAAGAGGTTGGCATAGCAGCCACCTTCTTCCCCTGTCCTCCCTGATCCCCTAGGGCCAGCTTCTTGCCAGGAGATCCTTCCACTCACTAACTTTCCCCCAGGCCCAGGAGAACAGCAGCCACCACCTTGGCAGTCTGAGGCTGACCTTTGACAAGTTGCAGAGATGGAGGCCTGGAGGTCAAGGTCATGTCCTCTGCCTACATCTGGAAACCACAGTCCCATGGACTGGCCTCCTCAGTGCCAGTGTCACCCCTACAATGCACCTGCCATCAGATTCTTCCTGCCACACACATCTGCAAGCAATCATACAGCTGACAGTGAGTTCTTACCACATACCAGGCCCCCAGCTATGCACTATACCAGTATGAACTCAGAGTCCCCACAACAATGCTGTGAGTTAAGGACTGTGGTTGCCCCCACTCTATAGATGACAAAATGCAACCCCCTCTTTATGCCTCATCTCAACACTCCAGCCCAGACCCTGCAGATCTTCCGCCCACTCCTGCCCCTTCCCGGTACACACTGGGCTGTCTTAGGCCTCTGAGCTTATGCTCATGCTGTTCCTCACTGCCCGGAATACCTTTCCTGCTCCCCATTCTCACCCCACACTGGATACTGCCTCATTGTTTAGGAATCCTATTAGACATCACTCCTTCCAGGAAAGCCTTCCCTACCCCCAACTTAATCAGATTCTTCCTCTGTGCCAATCACCCCACCACCACCACCACCACCGAGCCACACAATCTCAGCCCTCTGTGCACTGCCCTGTCTCCCCAGACAGTCTGTGACCAACTCAAGGGCAGGGCCCATGTGTCTCCATAGTGCCTCACCCAGAAAAGAATGCAGATTAGGTGTGAATGAATGAACAACTGAATAGTTTACATTATTGAGTGAATTATGAAGTGCCAGGCATTGTGCTAAGTGCTTTAAAGTATCATCTCATTTACTGCTCACTGTGCCTTATGGGGAAGGTGCTGTCACTCAACAGATGAGGAGACAGGGGCTCAGGGGAATTAGGCATCCACTAAGCATCCAGGCAATCAGACTCTGGGGCCAGCGCCCTTATACTTACGTGATCGGCAGTCCTCAGCAGACTCCCTCCATAAGGGGCTCTGTCCCCAGTCCCTCTGAGACTGGAGTAGGGAGAAAGCTCAGAAGTGCTTGGCCCCTGGGAGGAGGAAGGCAGTCATCTTGCCACTCTTTGTACCATTCAGATCTCCTGGGCCTGCCCATCTGCTTAAGGACAACCTGACCCAGAAAGAAGGTTGATTTGGGAAAAGGGTGTTGGGGCCACAGAAAAGAAGATACAGCAAGGCCAGGATTGCTACTGTCTTTAGTGGCTCTAGCCACTGGGGCACTGGCTCTCCTCCAAGGAGGGGGTTAGAAGCCTGGGGAGCCTGTTGACCAAATCCTACTCAACTCCACTATGCTCCTCCCTGATACATTTCCACCAACAAGGAGCTCCCTACCACTCCAACCTAGACAAGATCTCAGCAAGCTTCTCCTTCCCTTAGATGAAACTCACCTCCTCGAGGACATCAAGAGGAGTCACATCAAGGGACATCACTCTCTCTGGGAGAAACCACCAGACCCAACGGAAGGGTATCTCTGTGACTCTGTCAGTGCCTCTGACACTCCACTTTCCTCTCAGACAGAACCCTTAGACAGAACCCTGCCTCCTGTGGCTTCTTTATAATGCCTCCTTTCCTCCCCTCCTCTTGCCTCTCCAAAGCTCTCCAGACATGGTATCATGGTCTTAACTTCAAAAAGTCCACTTTTTGTGTTTCCTGATCCCCTCAGTCCCCAGAGAAGGTGGAGTGGGAAAGTTTCCAGTCTCACTCTGGAGCACCAGAGAGGTGGAGTGATATTTTCCAAAGGCCCACAGGGAAGGGGTGCCTTCCAGGAAGAAGGAGCAGCAAGTGCAAAGGCCCTGAGGTGGGAGTGTGCCTGGTAATGTTGATTGTGCCTGCAAGGAGGCAAGCATGGCTGCAGTGGAGTGAGCAGAGGCTAGAGTGTGAGATAAGGTCAGAGAGGCATGGGGACAGATTGTACAGGGCTTTTATAGGCCACTGTGAGAGATGGACCTGAAGCTTATGCAATTTAGAGAGCCATCCCTTTTTGGAAAAAATCAAAATTACAAATAAAAGTTTGATTCAAGGACTTGGAAGGAGCCTGTGCAAGTTAAAGGCCTGGATGGTAAATCTACTTTTGACTGGTAAGAATAGTGGCTTTTGCCTGGAGTGACAGGGAGCCATAGGATGCTTTAGAGCAGAAGAGGGACCTGACCCAATTAACCTTTGAATAGGATTCATCTGGCTGCAGAGTGGACCGTGAACTGGGGCGGAGGGTGGACAGGAGAGGAATTAGGACACTAATGAGCAACCTGGACCAGGTAGTTGTGGCTGAGGGGCGGGCAGGGATCAGATTCCGAAGGTGGAACCCATGACATCTGCTGATGGGCAGGATGGGAGGCGAGAGAGAGGTCAGAGGGTTGACCCTAAGCTTTGGGGCCTGATGCAGTTATCACCAACTGAGGTGGGGAAGGAGAGTGAACATGGTGACTGGACCTCATACACAAGCCTCCATCTTATCTCTGATTTTCACCAACCCCCTCAAACCCCAAGGAGGCTGAGACTGAGCTTTCATTCTGCCCACTTCACAGATAAAGAAAACAATACTCAGGATGCTCAGAGAGGTAGAGTACGTTGCCCAAGGGCACACAGCCAATAAATGGCAAACCTTGGATTCAAACCCAGGTTTTACCAACTCCAAATCAGTATCTGTTCTAATACACTAGGAAAAGCAAGATTTGGGGAGCCTAGTAGTATGCTGGATGGGAGAGGCAGTTCCCACAGGTGAGGCACATTCCAGCCACCACAGGGTCCCCTGGGGCCACTTCGCATCTACCCCCAAAAAACCTGCAAAGAAAGTTCTCAGCACCCTATGCCATGCTCCTTCCTAACCCCATTTCTGATCCACTGACTGCGAGCTCTCAGCTGTAATCCTGGGGAAATGTCTTTGGCATCGCTCAAGTTCTCTGAATTCATTGAGAAAGTAGTGACTGCCTCTGTCCATTTTACACATTTTTTAAAGGAGTTTCAGCATTAGGATGCAAAGCAGGCTTCTCTGGCTTAGAGAAAACCTGAGATTCCTGGGATTTAATCTTCTAACAGAGTTAGCCCCTGAAAACAATTCATTGCATTTAAACTGATAAGAATTGATAGTCCCATCCACTCAACAGGTTTAGTCTTCAAATGAGTCCCCCACTGTCACAATAATCCATTTGTCCTGGATTGATATTTTTATTATTATCATTATGGATTTAAAGGCCTTAGCGTATCATTTGGGGTGTTCAATTCTACCTGGAACAGCTCATGCCACTTTCTGCATCCACTACTTGCTTGGAGCCTTGACTTGTGAATCTTTCACCATCTTGAGGCTTTGTTCTTTTCAAACCACACCCCTTCAATACCAGCAATAGAACCTGGCAGGCCAAGCTGAACAGCCCTTGTCCCCTCCAGCCCTCCCCCAACCCCCTGGTCCTCGCAAAACGTGCCAGCGGGAGCAGATATTTGATCCGTTATAGAAGCTGTGATGTTACACTGCCCAGATGTTCAACCCACTAGAATGGAGGTTCAGGTTACAAATAATCAGGGCTACTCTAGCTTACAGACCCCATACCCACCCCACCCTTCCACTCCTAAGAGTCAGTTAGGATCCATGGCCAACAGAGTAAGAAGGACCTGCACAGGGTCAGGGGGCTTACCGAAATGACCCCTTTATAGAGTCTTCACACCAATGGTCTGGAAGGCGTATACTCTCAAAGCCCCCTAGGGCCACTTAGAATGGACAACGCCCTCCTCCAGTTCTCAAACACCTTTATCTCCTTGGCCACTAGGGCCTACTTCCTTTCCTTGTCAGTGAGGAGAGTCTGGATGGAGACTGGAAACACTTGACAAGAGAAACAGAACAGTGATCAGAGTAGCTAGAGTTTCCAAGCCACCAGAATGTGCCTGGTTTCTCCCCAGATAAACTGGGGCTTTACTGCTAGGGGGGTTAGGGGAGGAAGGTTACAAATTCAGCATTTAAAAAAATTTTTTTCTGTTAACCAGAATAAGATCAAGCTCAAGAGACACACTGTTGAGGAAGCGGAGGTAACAAAGACCCACACCGTGTCCATAGAAATACAACAAAGCCCTCACCCTTTGTTTGAAAGACCACCCCCACCCAGCTCTTGTCCAGGAAGTTAGTGAAAACTGTGCATGTGACTATATAAAACATGTGCTAAGATCTAGTCACTGCAGGTACTTCTATTCCAAGGCCAAAATCAGGCTATAGCAAATTTTGGATTTAGCCCGGCCTCACCTGGGGTCCTTTAGCAGGACCTTGCAAAATGGTGGCTATCTGACAGTGGTGGCCACCAACACGAGGTCAGAAAATGGCATGAATGGTCAGCACCTGACAAACACCCTCCCCTCCGGAAGGAGTGGACAGACGCAGACACCAGGCTCCCATTCCACACAGGAATTCCGAGGGCAGAACAGGAGGGGCCTGACCATCCAGATCAGCCCTCTCAGATCAGTCAGGGGGACTGAGGCCTGGAGAGGGGAGGTCGTCCAGTGGTGACTTCTCCCCTCATCGTGAAGCCACCTCCCACCTTAGATGGTCAGGGCAGAAAGGGGTCCCTCCAAGGTCGCCCAACACCCATACACAGCCGATGAGGACAGCAGAGATCCCGGAATTCCCCAAGGCACGAGGAACAGGATGGGCAGCCTTCCAAACAGCTCTCAATCCTCGGAAATGCCAAGAAACCTCATCCTCCAAGGGCAGCAGTTTCCAAACTTTTGTATTTTTAGCAGCAGAAGCCATCCTTCAAACAAAACCTTATGCAAAACCTCGAGCTACAAAACAGATCAGGGGGCTGCTCTCCCAGGTGAAACCTGGGCCAGTTCCCCCTCCGGCACCCACGACTCCTTCCACAGGGCCCTACGCAGAGCTCAGTCTGAAACCCCAGCCTTGGGAACCTCGAAGCCCTGCAGCTGAAGCAGCCAGATAGGGTGGGCGCTTACTTAAGACCCCTGGACGTTGTGACTAGTCTCTGAGACCTGGACGACTTCGTTCTCCACCAGGGCCTGGCCCCCATCCCCATTGAGCTGTCTCATGCGCAGGTTAATGGAGCCATAAGTCTTCCTGGAGCCCCTGCCCAGGACGAAGGTCGGCCGGCGGTACAGCTCGCCCTTGCACAGGGAGACCATCAGCAGCACGGACAAGAGCATGCCGCCCACTGTGAGCAGCCCCAGGCCCGCGATGATGCACTTGTCCAGGTGCGAGCCCAGGCGGGCGTAGTACATTTCTAGTCGTTCCATCTCCCGCGCCGACACTGTGTCCGGGTTGACACGGGCCTCGCGGGGGATGGCGTACGCGGTCACCACCAGGAGGATCCCGCTCACCAGGAAAACCAAAGCTGAAACAAAGCCGTAATCCACCGGGCGGCTCACGGGCTCCAGGCCTGGCCCCTCTTCTGAACGCAGGGACAGATCGTCCCTTTGGGATCGGGGCCGTGAGGGGACACCCCCAGGGGGGGCTGGGGGAGCTGCCCAGTCTGGTGTCCCCAGGGTTCTGGAAATGGGTCTCATGCTCCTCTGAGGAGAAGCAGGCATTCTCCACGCCCTCCCTGGGTGGGGCCACTGGGCCCAGAGGAGCTGGTCTCCTTGGGGCCTGGGGACCATTGCTCAGTGTCTTCAGTTCCAGACCAGGGGGAGATGCCATTGGGAAGGAGGGCCCCAGCTCATCCCTTGGCCCCTTGGCAGCTAGAAGAGAAAACAGAAAGTCAAATTTAGCAAACCTCCACCAAGAGCCTGCTGGTGCTGGTCATCACACTAGAGGTGAAGTTGAATCAGGCAGGGTTCGCACCTAGGGGAGCCTGCCAGCCAGCGGAGGAGGCAGGGAATAAGACAATGACAGAGCAGTGCGACCCAACCCACACTAGGATCCCCTTCACCACGGGCGAGCATGTGGCTTTGGGCAATTCACTTACCCTCTCTGGGCCTCAGTTTCTCCATATATTAAATGACAGTAATACTACTACTTCCTATTGAACAGGGCTG